TATTCTTTACTTATTAAAGCATAACGTTAAGAAACTCACCCTGTCTATTCTTTACTTATTAAAGCATAACGTTAAGAAACTCACCCTGTCTATTCTTTACTTATTAAAGCATAACGTTAAGAAACTCACCCTGTCTATTCTTTACTTATTAAAGCATAACGTTAAGAAACTCACCATGTCTATTCTTTACTTATTAAAGCATAACGTTAAGAAACTCACCCCGTTTATTCTTTACTTATTAACGCATAACGTTAAGAAACTCACCCTGTCTATTCTTTACTTATTATGTTTATTATGTTTCTGAAATTGTGTCCAATAATATAATCCAACTATGAATACCAGATTCATCTTTTCTATCAAAATTGTAATTTAATCCAACTGATGTAAAGATCAAACAAGTTTTATTATTATTGTCAAATAGAAATTACAATAGTCATTTTGCACTCAATGTTAATTCAAATACAGTCTATAATTCTGTTCTATCAATGTGGTTCTATCATAATATACTTATTTTAGATAATACTGTAGACTGGGTTACACACACGTAAAAAACAACTACAACAAGTGTCAGGTTGTCAAGAGATTAATGTCGTGTTTTGGAACACTTTCATTAACCCACCCCCCCCCAAAAAAAACGAACATCATGTATAATAGATAAACGAACCGCCTAAACATCACGTTAGTGTAGCCTATATATGTGTAAAGTTTAGTATACTCTAATTCCTTATAGTGATGACACACGACGAGACACACATTCTGCAAGTAATGCTGTTTGAATACAAGAAGGGAAACAATACCTCTTTAGCCACAAAGAATATCAAAGAAGTTTATGGAAATGTTTTGAACGTTCGTAAGTGTCAACGATGGTTCAGATAATTTCGTTCAGATGACCTTAGCCTTAAAAACTGTGATGGCAGGGGCCGACATGTTCGAATTGATATGGATGCTCTGAAGACGCTCTGAAATGGCCCTAAAAATGCATGTCTCTCATGAAACAATACGTAAACATCTAAGGAATGTGGGAAAAGTCCTTAAAGAAGGTGTTTGGGTGCCTCACGAACTCTCCTGTGATCATCGTTTCCAACGTGCTTCGTCTCTTCTGGCGTGTAATGCACATGAACCATTTTTGTTCAGAAATATGGATTCTCTATGCGTATATTAAACGCCAAAAACAATGGCTCAGTCTTAGACAAAAAACACTTCCGACCCCAAAACCTGGACTCCATCCGCAGAAAGTGATACTTTGTATTTGGTGGGACATCAAATGAGTAATTCATTTCGAACTCCTCAATTTACAGCGAACTGTCAATGCAGAGATCTAAAGTCAGCAATTGGAACGTTTAAATCAAGCTCTTCATCAGAAATGCCCTTCACTCGTCAGTTGGAAAGGTGTTCGTCTACACGACAATGCACGTCTACATGTGGCACGTTTTACGTAACACAAGATTATGGAGTTGGGTTGGGAAGTTTCCCCACCCACCATATTCTCCAGATATGGCACCATAAGGTTACCATCTTATTCGTTCGCTGTAACACCATCTCAATGGAAAAACGTATGCAAATGTTGAAGGTGGTAAAGAGGACATCGACATGTTTCTTGCTTCAAAGCCATTTGATTTCTTTAATTAGGGCATTAACAACCTGATTGTAAAATAGAAAAGCATCATCGATAAAAATGGAGACTATTTAATTTATTAGATGTTTTGTTTTGACATATAAGTTGTTCGGGTTTTTTTTTCATCTAAAAAAAAAAAGAAGATTAATTTCTTGACGACCTAATACATTAACCATGTTAACTGAATGTCTGCTTATATTGTGGGGTTTTTTGCACCAGTCACCAGAACAGGAACAAACTACAGTACACTTCAGAAGGCTTTCTGTGTAAATGTATTGCTTTGTTCCACATTGTTGTCCTGTACTATTGCAACCACATGTGGCCAACTTCAAGTAATCAGTTGGAATAGTAGTGTTTTCCATAAATATAGGTTGCATCACACCTTTAACATTTTTTTAACCTGTCAGAAGAGTGTCCGGAAGATCTGCTTGTGCATTCTGCTAAATAAAAGCCTGATAATGTGTGACCTTCTGATAAGAAGGACAAGAGCATTTCTTGTTGGAAACAAATTTTCAAGACTTCTCTTAAACTTTCTGAATAATGAAGCACGAAGCTTGTGTCAGTTTCACAGCTGTGCAGCTTACGCACAAACACTTCTGCCTGTGAAACACTTTGGTCACTCAATAGGTGAATGTCCTCCAGTTACTAAAAAATACTAATAGGTCATGTTATATGTTCAGGAGAGGTAGATTGATAAATGGGTCATGCCATATGTTCAGACCAGTTAATTTGGTAAATGGGTCATGCCATATGTTTAGACCAGTTGATTTAGTAAATGGGTCATGTTATATGTTCAGGACAGGTAGATTGATAAGTGGGTGATTTTACATGTTCGTGATGTATAGTTTGATAAATGGGTCATGCCATATGTTTAGACCAGTTGATTTAGTAAATGGGTCATGTTATATGTTCAAGACAGGTAGATTGATAAATGAGTCATGCCATATGTTCAGACCAGTTAATTTGGTAAATGGGTCATGTTATATGTTCAGGACAGGTAGATTGATAAGTGGGTGATTTTACATGTTCGTGATGTATAGTTTGATAAATGTGTCATGTTACATGTTCAGTTCGGCTAATTTGATAAATGTGTCGATTTGTGCGTTCAGGACAGGTAGATTAATAAGTGGGTCATGTTATATGTTCAGGAAGAACAGTTTGATAAATGGGTCATGTTACATATTCAGCACGGATGGTTTTCATAAATGTGTTGTTTCTTGCGTTCAGGACAGACAGTTTGATAACTGTGTCGTGTTACGTTTACAGAATAATTTATATTATAAAGTTAAAATCCTTATTTTCCTTTAATTGGACAGTAAACGAGGGTTGTTATTACCTCCGTTCACAGTTTTTAAATACGTTGTTTAAAATTCTTAATAATTTTGTTATTTATTTTATTCATATTTAGGAGATCCGGTAGTAGTAGACGTCTCTATGTTTATCATTGGCATCAGCTCTGTTTCAGAAGTCCAGATGGTGAGTTTATTTTAACTATTTGTTATCTGTACATTTAGGTGTCAGCTCTCTGTTAGATGTCCAGATGGTGAGTTTATTTTAACAGTTAGTTATATGTAGTTGTTTACGTATCAGCTCTGTATCAGAAGTCCAGATGCTGAGTTTACTTTAACTGTTAGTTATCTGTAGTTCTTTAGAAAACAGATCTGTGTTAGAGGTCCAGATGCTGAGTTTACCTTAACAGATAACTATCAGCTCAATATCAAAAGTCCATATGGTGAGTTTAATTTAACTGCTAGTTATATGTAGTTGTTTAGGTGTCAACTCTGTGTTAGAAGTCCAGATGGTGAGCTTACTTTAACAGTTAGGTGTCTGTAGTTGTTTAGGTGTCATATCTGTGTTAGAAGTCCAGATGGTGACTTTACTTTAACTGCTAGTTATATGTAGTTCTTTAGATGTCAACTCTGTATTAGAAGTCCAGATGGTGAGCTTACTTTAACAGTTAGGTGTCTGTAGTTGTTTAGGTGTCAACTCTGTGTTAGAAGTCCAGGTGGTGACTTTACTTTAACAGTTAGGTGTCTGTAGTTGTTTAGGTGCCATATCTGTATCAGAAGTCCATATGGTGAGCTTACTTTAACAGTTAGTTATATGTAGTTGTTTAGGTGTCAACTCTGTGTTAAAAGTCCAGATGGTGAGCTTACTTTAACAGTTATGTGTCTGTAGTTGTTTAGGTGTCATATCTGTATCAGAAGTCCATATGGTGAGTTTACTTTAACTGTTAGTTATCTGTAGTTTTTTAGGTATCATATCTGTATCAGAAGTCCAGATGGTGAGCTTAGAAATGATATAATATTGGCTGGAGATGAGTAAGTGTATTACTATTTTCTAAGTGATGTAGAGTTAAGAATGAAACTGGATAGAATCAGTTTCTTTCTGTTTACCAAGTGGTAAACAGATGAATATAGACTCAACATTGAATAAGTTTATTTAACACTTAAAGACTGACTCAGCGTAGAATAAGTACATTTTCTGTTGAATAATTATAAAGTCCCTTCAACATTGGTAAAACACAACTACCAGTTACCAAGTCTTCATGAATTAGTGAAACTTAACTATCAGGTATTAACAATTCGTGAGCTAGTATAACGTAACTAAACTATCAGGTCTATGCAAACTTACTATAACTACCAGTTATCAAGTCTTCACATATTACTAAAACACAACTACTAGTAATTAAAAAAATGTTTAACAATTTTCAAACGATCAATGTTTTTAACTTACACAATTAAAATCTTTATTCTGAGATCGTTTAACATAAGAATGAAAAGTCGACATTTTTTTGTGAATTTGTATGACATGATAACGGAGAAAGGTTTATGGTAAGTCGTAGTTTCTAACTTATTTTCCTTTTTCTTTAGAATTACATCAAGAAATAGCAAACTATTGTTTTCTTTAATCTCATAAGTAAACTTAATAGCGGATTCTAAACTGTTTAGGTAATTAATAAATAATATCAAATCTTCTTGACTTTTCATTCTTATGTGTATAGGTCCTTAAAGTTATGCTCTAAATAAGAAGATTTAAAAAATGAATTATCATTACTTAAGAATGTAGCATTAGATAGAGGTTTCTCACCAAGTATTGTAGATAGAGCTGTGAAGAAATTCAGTAGAATTAAGAATAATGATCAAAAACTAAATTAAAATCAACGTTTGATAAAATAAAAAAACTGAAATGTTATGTTTGCCATTTGTCCCTGGTTTATCTTGCCAAATCTTTCAGAAACTTAAAAAGCAATGTAAAAACTTTATTCCGATTTACAAACCTTTGAATAAAATTAGCCAAATGTTAAATAAAACTGAGGATTTAATTACTCTAATGGGAAAAACGGGTATTTATAAAATTGAAAGTGAATGTGGAAGTGTATACATTGGTCAAAATAAAAGAAATTTAAAATTTAGAATAAACGAGCATAAGAGAAATGTTAAAAATCAAAGTGAAATTTCTGCACAATCTGAGCATATAAGTCATACTGGTCATTTCATTCGGGGGGGGGGGTGTTATCTTGGCTCAACCGAATGATATGACTACTAGAAATATCAGAGAATCTAGTGAAATAATTAAACACAATAACAATGGCCAAACTTTGAATCAGGATGAAGGGTTAGCAGGTCAAAAACTACACAGATGGCGTGACCTTCTTTAGGGTTTACAGTTTATCCATGGAGTGTAATATGAGTCACATGATTAACAACCTTGGTATAAATAGTTTTGTAACGGTTGTTTTTTAGACTTAGCACTCCTGAGGATGACGTGATACACGTTGAAACATGTAGAGTGGTTGTTTTGAGACTGTTAAACAGTCTGAGAATGTATATTCTAATTGTGTAAGTTAAAAACGTTGAGAGTTTGAATTTTTTTCATTATTTTTACACAAATTCCTTGAAGTTTAACCTTATCATCTTGTGGACAGATAACACTTCAA